CCCCTTTTTTTTTTTTTTTTTTTTTTTTTTTTTTAGTGTGAATGATATAGTAGCCATGGGGCCAGATAGTTTCTATGCTACCAATGACCACTACTTCACCGACTTCATCTTGATGTTCTTAGAGGTGTTCTTGGGTTTAACTTGGTCAAATGTTGTTTACTACAGTCCAAAAGAAGTTAAGGAAGTGGCAACTGGCTTTTGTTCAGCCAATGGAATTAACATTTCACCTGATAGAAAGTAAGTTTCTCCTTACCTTAGATTTTGTTTGATCACACAGAAGAATCCAGAGATCCTGATTTGTACATATGGTACCTCCGTGGTCAGGTGTCTAAGCTGGTTCATATAGGGCAAGGTGCTGCCTGTGCAGTGTAAGTAGTACAGAGCGATTGCAGCACGGGGTTGCGTGTGTTGGTGTTCAGCAGCAATGTTTGCTCCTTTGCATCGTAGTTTATGGGCAGTAAGATCAAAGGTTGCTGCATTTAAAGCAGCCGATACAGGAGTTTGTCCGTATTGCTTGCAAGGATTAACAGGGCAGAGTTTCTGCAAGCGGGGAACGTTCTACCGTCCTAAAGTCTGTGTGACCGAATCAACCAGTCCTATGGTGTGGACAGGTGATCTTAAATTAAAAAAAAAAAAAAAAAAGGTGTAACTGGGGATTTTTAGTTCCAAGGTCTGTTTTGGTGTTGCAATGGAAGAACTGGCACAGTGTGAAGATACATTAGGATCTCAGCAGGTTGGCTTCATTTCAGTGCCCTGTGGCCTGCTTGCAATGTCTGTTGCTGTGTGAGAACTGTGGGCTGGCATTCCTCATGGGAAGAGCTGGGCTTGCATGGAAGGAACTGTCTGGTTTTCGTGTCTTCATACATTGCTGAGAGATGCTTTGCTTTCTTTTGAAGGTACATCTATGTTGCAGATGTATTTGATCATAGTGTTCATGTTATGGAAAAACACACTAACTGGAATTTAACTCACGTGAAGGTAAGGTGCTGCTGTTCTATAAAAAAGAGACAAATGTGAATTTTGGACAGAATAGTCCCCATGAATGCTTGATATGTCAACATGATTGTGTGTAAAGTTCTGGTCTGGGTGGCTCCTGCTGTGGGGTTGCAGAGGTGCTGTGTGCCCTATTACAGAGCTTCAGGTCTTCCACCCTCCCTCCAGCAACCAGAGAGGAATCCTTGGGAGTGCTGTTGAGCCACAGTGGAAGTCTGCCTCAGGCAGTGTGGGTCAGAGCACAAAGAATTGAAGGAATCAACAAACACATAGGTGTGAATGAGCTGATAGGGGAAGCTCAGAGCAGCAAGCAGGTTTCTCATGGTGTAGAGGTGGGGATGATGCATACCAGGGGAAAAGAAAAACAATACTGGGGGAGAAAATATTTCTTAAAAAAAATAAATCTAAGATGTCAGATGAGAGTCTTGGAGAAGTTTGTTCATTATGTTGTAGTTTACTTCCAGGACTTCTGGTAGCTTTAACTTCTTGTTTTTGCTTTGTGTTGGATAGACACTACAACTGGACACTCTGGTCGATAACTTGTCTATTGAACCTCACACTGGAGACATCTGGACAGGATGTCATCCTAATGGGATGAAGCTGTTCTACTATGATCCTGAAAATCCTCCTGCCTCTGAGGTGCCTCTTGAGAGACATCACTGGTCTCTTGGCTGTATCTGTGCCCAAAAGTTGTTTTGTTCAAATCACCCTGGTATAACGTAACTGCATTACATAGAGAAGGGCCTGGCCAGCCTTTGTGAAGGCAAAGACCGAGCTGGCTTCTGCTTTCAAGTGGAAGCCCAAACAGCATATACTCACTAACAAACACCTGTTCAGATCCTTGGGTGACAACTGATTACTTTCTACCCAGTAGCTCAGTCACTTTGGACTCCTCAGGCTGCTTTCTGTGCAGCTGTGGCCACACCCAGATTCTGATGAACTGCATTAATTACCTAGCCAGCACATCTTTGCCAAACTAAACATGATTGATGAGTGCAAAGCGTGACCAGAAACGTTTGCACAGTAATGATTAATCAAGGCAAGTGTGATTCATCAGTAGGTGACACTGTAATTCTTCTTTCCTTCTGAAATCAATGAGGTACTGGCCTCAGGGTAATAGTGGCCACAAGTGCAGCTGGCTGGTTGGTGTCCATTTGATTTCAACCTTGTCTGAAGCGCCCTCTAAGACGCTTCTCAAAATTACCATGTTCAATAGCAGTAGACTTATGGTACCAGGCATTTGTTTATTCTGTCTGGAAAAAGCATGAAAATAAGAAGATATTAACTAACTCTTTAGCAGGAAAAAACTGTGCACATTCCTTGGAGTGGGGATGACTGCCTTCCTTACAGACATGGGGTCTCTGTCACACAACCACTTAAAAAAAACCCCAAACTCAGTCTTCATGGACTGTGCTTCCCTGAAGGCCCTATCACAGGAATCACATGGCTGTAATTATCAGCAGTTGATCGCCCTAACTAGTTTGTTTAAGTTAACATGCTGATGTTCCCTCCATACATGGAGCATTTCCACCTGCGGCCATTTCAGTAGATGTATCCTCCCCCTCTGGCAGGTTCTGCGCATCCAGAACATCCTCTCGGAGGAGCCTGTGGTGACACGTGTCTACGCTGACAACGGCTCTGTGCTGCAGGGGAGCTCAGTGGCAGCCATCTACGAGGGAAAACTGCTCATTGGCACAGTCTACCACAGAGCTCTCTACTGTGAGCTATAGCTCGTCATGGGTAAGATCTGCTGCAGCGGAAAGGATTTAGTTCCTTGGGAACTCAGTTTCTGCTAGATTTGCTAACAACAAGACTGTTCCAATAAAGGTTAACTGCAGTAATAGAGATGTATTTTAGCCTTCCTCTCCAAAACGAGACTTCTACACAATAGTGAAGGAAATGTAATTGAAGGTGAGAAATTAGTTTATTTGTGTAATGGGGAGGACCCCATATCAGTAACAAAGGGTTACCTTGAAGTTCAGTTTCAGATTGCAAATGACTAAACTGTCAGACATTGAACTCATCTCTGCTGGCTGGATTTTTTTTTTCCCCATGAGAAAACTGATTTTGTAAATAAGAATTGCTGACTACCAGTGTGGTGTGTGTTTGTCACTGACCCCTGGGCCTTCCCATGGACTGTGTGAGATTCTTCTGAATCTGCCTATTGGCTTTCCCTAATGCATCCAGAATAACTGGAAGGTGAATAAATGTTATTTCAGTTTTATCTACTTCCCCTTCCCCCTTCAAGCCATTTCCTAACATTACTTCAGGTTCCTAAATTTTTCTTAATTCTATTGAGAAAAGAGTAGGGTATCACTTCAGAGTGGTTTCTTACTGAGTCTTCCAAAGGGAGTTTGAAAAAGCTTTTTTTACTCTTAAGAGTGGGAAACGTCTTGAGCACCTTCATTGAGAAGTGCATTAGCAATTACTGTTGTCTGTCACAGAAAAGGGAGCATTTCTGGACACTTTGCCACAGCGACTACCCCCAAGCCTTGGTCACACATGTTGTGTGTTTATCTTCAGTCGGTCCAGAGCTGATTCCCACTGTGCTACTGTGCAGCAGGCACCCCTTCCTGTTTATCTAGCATCAGTTACTGATAATGTCTCACACTGCTAAACAGCCTATCCACCATCAGCTGGTGGTTTTGGAATAGTGTTAGTAGTCACTTTCAGTGAACTGAACAGAATGTCCTTTGAAGCTGGAAATCAGTTTGGTGCTCTCCAGTGTGCACAGCAAGATGCCAGAAACCCCTGTTTTGGCCACCACTTGGTTTCCTGCTCATGGAGTGAGCTCTTCTTGCATTAGTGTAGATATCCTTACCCACAGAGCAGCTCCTGCTGCTCTTTTTGTCCTTCCAAGTTCCCAGCTGTGATCAGCCCTCCAGTTTTGTGAGAGATGCTGACATCCAGCTAAAGGTTCTGTGTTACCTGTGGTGGCTCTCCTGCAGGGGTTGCTGCTCTGCTGCCTGCACATGCCTGCACTGGCCCTTTTCAGCATCTTGGCAGCCCCTCCAAATGCTGCCACCAGACAGACCTCCCTAGGGCTGCCAGCCCCTCTGTATCCTTCAGCTGATGCAGTAGCTTTTCCTCTCTGCAGTCCTTCCCCCATTGTATGGAGAAAAAAGACAGGCTGCTCCTGAAGGGCGAGCCTGGGAGGAGAGAGAGCCAGTCCCTGGGGTACCAATTGCTATGCTAGCTTTGCTGTTCCCTCCTGCAGTCTGCTCCACCACCAGCCACAGCCCCTCCAGTCTGGAGAGTACACAGAAAGTTCAGTACTTTAAAAACACAGGAGTACTTGTGCCTACAAGATAGAGAAAATAACCCACTCTGTAGTGGCTCAAACACTGAGGCAGGAGGCAGAGTATGTGCAAACCCTCCTCTGTCTGGATTTTCCCATTCTGGCTGAGAGGAGGCAGTACTGCAGGCTGAGGTTTGGGTGAGCAGTGGCCCTGAAGAACAAACGTATGTACTGACACCTCTTGGCTCCTGTGCTTTTCCTTTCTGACAAGCCTAATGGCTTTCATCCACTGGTAGGAAAAGATCTGCCGCTCCTTCCCTGATGGAAAGGACAGCTCTAACCAGAGCAAGGAGTCCGTGCCAGGGCTCGTGGCTGAGGCAGTGTTGCTGTACAGGAGGGACGATGTCATCCCCCTTCCTGTGCACAGCTGTGGGTCTTGCCACATCACCCATCTCCTGCCCCTAAAAAGCATCTGCTGCACCCTGTGCTGCCCCAAGCTCGCTGGAACAGACCCTGCTTGGTGTAAGGCAAGTCCCTGGGCACAAAGAAGTTCTGTGAGGTTGAAGAACTGAGCCAGTGGGCATGTTTGGCTCAGTCACTGTGCCTTTCCTGATGCCAGCAACTTCCCCCTGCTGCCATGGCAGAAAGCTCTTTCACACGCATGTACTAGTACAAATGGCACGTGCTGCAGGGGTTACCGATGGCCAGAAGGGGAGACTTGAGCATTAGTTAACTGCGTGGCTAATTGACTTGTCTCTTGGTGGCAGCCCTGCATTAGCAGGTCTGTGCACAAACTGCGTTCACAGCTCCTCTCCAAAATGCTCACAGTTGATCTGCAGACTTGAGGGCTGCCCAGGCGTCACTGTCTGCTCACAAAGGCTTTGGTGACAAGGACTCAACCATTCGGATCACAGTTTTGAATCTCGCTGACGATGGCATGCAGCCCTTCCACAGAGCAGAGCTGGCCTTGAATGAGGGCGGCTTTTGTCTCATCCCTTCCTTGTACTTGCCTTTGGCATTACCTAACCCTGGCTTTGCTGCTCACTCCTTAGCAACTTCTCTCCCTGTGGGACACTTTCAGCTTCCCTTGGAAGTGGTGTACTTTCCTACAGGAACGTGTAATCCATTTTCAGTCTTGAGGAACAGACATCATTCCCAGAGCCCAAGCTGAAAGGACTGCTCTGAAGAAAGTTCTCACAGCAATGAGAGGTTGGGCTATTAACTTGTTCATGATTAGCCATCAACAGTCTCCACAAGCATTCTGAAGTGGTTATTTTAGGATTGTGCCAGTATTTGTTCTAAAGTGCCATCTCCTAAAGAGTTATATCACGCATTAGTGGCAGTAACACACTGAAATGCTGATCAGCCACTCTGCTGGTCCTGGATTTACTCTGTGTATGTAGAAACGCAATAACCATTTCCCTCAGCAGTGGCAGAAGTAACCCATAAAAACATTAACTTCAAATTTTACAGTGGCTTAAAACATCTTCAAATAAGCAAATCCACACATTGTTGGATCTTGTCAAACTTTTACTTTTTTGTTGGTTTTAGCCTTCCAGAAAATAAAGATTGTCTTCACTCATCACTGGCTTTTTTTTCTGTTCTGAACGACTCCTGTGCTGAAGGCTTTCCCATCCGTCTGCCTGCAGACTGAACCATAGGAAAGCGATGTGCCTTATCTTTTCTCACAACATTTGAGAGGAGAGAGATTGTAGGTACTTGATGTAACATTTTGAATTTTAACCTGAGGTGAGGACGACTGGAAGCCCATTGCCAACCTTCTCTACAGGTATCCCAGCCTTGCAGTGCAGAGGCGGGAATTGAAGCCGGGCCACCGTTCATTCAAGTGATGCTGAGCAGGACAGAGACGGCAAGAGCCATGCTGGGGTACAGCTTCTACCTTTTGGCATGACATCACCACTTCATAAACGCACTGGAGGCCTCAGTGCAGAAACAGCAGTGGTGGAAGATGCAGCTCAAGCCTGGCCTCTCAATCACAACGTAACCTGCATAGGGAAAATCCATGCTTGCAACCTGGAGGAAGGCATAACACATCATCTTTAACAAGCTGTAGAGACTGGAGCAGTTCTGGGTATTTCAGAAACCAAACTGCAGCTGGGACAATTTGCACAGACAAGAAAAATGTATGTATATATATGGCTTAGGAAGCTGTTGAGGAGACACATTTTACATGTCAATTGTGGACTTGGAGCCTCTTAGTATATCTCCTTTAATTAAGATAATAATTTTATGGATTGAAGATTCTTTTTATCTTCTTGCAGGTGGTGGCCATATTAGCAGAAAGTAAGGTTTATGATTCAGTTGTTGGGAAACACAAACTGGGTTAAACAGATTAAGTGCAGAGTATTTGGCCTAGATTCTGCCAGATGTAAATCCACTGAAATGACTACACAAATTGGACAGTCTGCACCCTCTGCTTTTCCTTTATTTAATCCTCTACTAAAATCAAATAAATAAAGACATATTAAATATGTTCAGTAGAAGAACTGGTGTACTTTGAGTGTATAAAGTGCCCATTGTAACTAAGCTACACTTAAATATAAAACGGTAATTTTTTTTATATACCAAAACTAATTCAAGTCTTTTAAACAAACACTGACCAGTATCAGTGTGAAAGTAGCCTATTTTTACATCAACCTGCAGCAAAAGATTGCACTCTACATTTCATCGGCATATGAAAAAAGAGTAATTCTCTTTCCTTACTCTTTTTTTTTTTTCAGTTCTTTTTACATAATTACAGATTGTAAATGAGACCCACTTGGAGGCCTGTGAATCATGCCAATTTGGCCATGAGCTAGGATTAAAATAATCTTTGGCTGAGCAGAAGGAAGGAAAGAACAAGCAGGGCAAGGTCCATATCCAACCCCACCCCCCAGTCTGGCCCATGCAGCTGTCCAGTTGTGCTCACCATTTAATATTTCTTCTGGAATGACCAACAAATGGTCAGAAAAGTGAGGACTCGATACAAATTCTAATAAAGATTCAGGATTTCTCATTTTATTGCATTCGTTGTCTAACAACAATAATACTCATTGGCAAGAAATTTATTTACACTAACAAATTAAACCACAAGGCTTTGTTGTTTGTATTTAAACTGTAAGAAAACAAAGGGCCACCATGATGTTTTGTTTTGATGTCTCCCAATAACTAAATATTAACCAAAGTTATCTTGGGGAAAACTCAACAATCTAGAGAAGTTCATATCAACCAAGCACAAGAGAACAAGCTCAGACATGGCACTACTGTGTCCTTCATGCAGGTGATCAGACATCAACATGTACAAACAAAAAGTTCAGGATAACATGCACTTCATATACATTTGATCTCTTTAAAAAAAGACAAAAATGAAAAAATCTGGAGCGCAACCATCTCTTTAACCATATAAAAAGAAACAATGTAAGAAGCCAATTTTTACAGTTAGCACAGTGCATTTTAGTCTTTTAGCTGCCTGGTCTTCTAGCAATATGTGTAACACATGTCAGTGACCAGTGAGATACCATCACAACATGACTGGGAAATATGAAAGCAGTTGTTCAGACAGTAAATGTATATGGGAAAGTATAGTCAGAAGAGGTTCACTGTGCACTCTCCACTTCCAAATGGGCTGGTTATTCCTTATGTCTGGTGCCCTGTGATCCCCCTTTCCTCCAGACATTTCTACATTGGGGCCCAAATCCACTTACACCGGTGTCAGCAGCAAACCTCCCACTGGAAACCCATCAGGAGGCCCAGGCTCCTGGTTTAGGTGGGTTGGATCCGATCTCATGAACTGTGAGCCCTCCTCACCTCTCTGGAAGAAGAGACCCGCCTAATGCCGCAAGTTTCACAAACCCT